GTATATGCCCTGTATATGTAGATGTATACGAATATGTATGTATATATGCATATGTATAAGTATATTTATCTGTGTATCTACATCAGACGACTTGACTGCATCGGAGCTCGACCGACGTCGAGGATTCGCAGACTCGGAGATTTGAAAATCGAGATCTGGACGGAGTGGGCAAGAAGGGGGTTGATGGAGCGTGGCTGTTTCTCGGGGTATTGTACCGTCTTTCTGCTGGTAATGGCAGGGTCGATGCACCCATTCCAGCAGCAGCAGTAGCAGCGCTGGTCGTCGTCGTGGTGGTCACACCAGAGGTCTTCCTCGTCGTCGGAGCGTCAATAAGCATCAGCTTCGTCAGCTTGCATCAGGATTTCCGCAAAGCTGGTGGTCGCAGACAAGGACCACGAGAGCGCACCGGGCCCAGCTGTTTGCTTCTCAGGTTTTCGGACTCGATTCAAGCCGCCAAGCTCTGTCTGTTTCGCGGGGTCTGTGGAGGCTTCGTAGTCGGCAACGCATCAGGGTCAGTAGGAGTTCGGTGGCAGGACATCCTGCTCCGACGAGGGATTACAGGGTTGGCGGGTTGATCCGGAAGGGAAGGACTCCAAGGAAGGCCTGGCGAACTGAGGCTGCGACAAGAATCCTGGAACATCTGATTCCCCAAAGCATCCTTGCTTGGTTCTCACTAACAAGAAGAAGAAGGGACCTTCTTTAGGGGCAAGCTGGCCGCAACCTGGCATTTTTGCCCGCAGGCATTGAGGCGCCAGAGGAATGCCTTGGAGGCTTGGAGAATGGGGTCTGAAACGGTTTGCTTTGTGCTGCCTATGAGAGAGTCTGGGGTCGTGACGAAACACTACTTGCGCATCATCTGCTAGAGTGGAAGCACAAGACGAAGACGATGCTGAATTGAATGCGATTAGCCTAGATGTCTCTTCCCACATCTGCCGTGTTACCTGCAACGGTTGGCAAGAAAAATCGGAAAGCTGTTCCTTGCAGCATGCACGACGACCCGCTTGGAGGCAGCAAAGGCATCCGCAGCTGCAGTGGCAGCCTTGGTTGACGGCTTTGGGGGGTAAGTTTCCAGGCTTTGCTTGGCACACCAGATCCTGTTCCCAAAGGTTGGCAGGTTTGGCGGGCTTCATAGTAGATACATACCATAAAGGGGGGCGTGTAAAGCATGCCCCTCAAAGCAGGCATAGCCCCATATATTTGGCCAAAAGCGACTGGAGCGCCTTGATGTTCAGCATATTCGCGTGAACCTTGTCGGGCAGTGGTTGGAGGCTCTGGTCTTGTTGGGAGTGCAAACTCATCCGCCAACTCGAAAGCCAAGCCGGGCCCCGACAAAGCCGTAGCCGAACCGTTCGTGGCAAGGCTATCTCTCGAAAGGAAAAGGCCTGAGGGCACGGAGGGACAGGAAGGGGAAGTGCGGTGCAGCAGTATGCAGCATGATCCAATTTGCGTGGTTCACAGCCTGGAAGTCTCAAGGCCGCCCCGTGCAAGATCCAACAGCTCCCATATCCCATTTCTCAGGCCCCATTTCTCCTAAGATCTTAAGTGAAGGCCACAGGCGGAACAGGCTCAGGTGCTGATGCGAATATTCGCTGAGAGTTCCTCGGCATGGTAGCTCACAAGGCTGCACCTCTGCACCCCCTGCGAAGCTTTGCCTGTCTCTCATCTCTCCTGTTGCTCTTCCGTTTCACAGGCAGCTGCAAAGCAGGCCGCAGCAATCAAGGCAGCCGAAGCGAAGAGGAATGCTGCAAAGAAGGCAGCTGAGAGAGCAGCCGAAGTGAAGAAGATTGCCGCAGAGAAGGCAGCGGAGAAGGCAGCCGAAGCGAAAAGGATTGCGGCGCAGGCGCAGAAGGAACCGGAGAAGGCCGGGTCCAGCGTTAAAGACATCGAGATGAGAAGCGCGCAGCCAGAGCTATTCTAGTATCAGATAGCCTTGTTCTTACTTTTCAGTGACGATTGCCGGAGACATCTCACTTCACTGTAACAACGTCTCCTTCAGCAATAGAAGGTGCCTAATGCTGCAGACCAATTTCTGATTGCATTGATACAGACACATGACATGCAACTTCAAAGGTATGGAGTTTGCAGTAAGGGACGCAGCAGGTTCTGGATAACAGCACGCCCGCAGAATGTTGTGTAGCGCAGCCTATGAGGGCGTATCGAGGATTTCAGTTGCTGTTGAGAAGGTCCAAAACCAAGGCGCCCTCCCGAGTCGGACGCCGAGAGAGTGCTGAGGGTCGTCGCTCAGCTTCGGTGCGCAAGCCACAGAAGGCAATGGATCATGTTCCAGAAACCTTTAATCCGTTAACCCCCGAAGCTGAAGCACGGCAAACTGCTGGATTCTTCTCTCAAGTTGGAACAGGTGGGCCTTGAGAGAGCAAGGAACTGCCCTTGAGAAAGCGATTGCCCCCGTTACGGGAAGCTCAGCCCCTCGAAGCAGCTGCCCGAAGCCTGTCTTCGCGGCTAAGCGGCTAAGGCAAGAGTGGCAAGAGCCCAGGAACGGTTGGGGCCCCGGTGAAGGAACGCAGAGGGCCGTCGCAGGCAGCATCACCTTGCATCACCACCGCCACAAAAAGCCGTAATATGACAGAAGACGAGAACCAGCAAGCCGTCACACGAAAGACAGCATTGTCGCCGCCGTGATCATCATCCGCAGCATCGAAGAGTTGTTCTTTGTGACCCCAGCCCAGGTCAGATACATCGATTCTGGCCCTGCTGCCGGCTGGCACGTGAAAGGCCCCCACGTTTTTGGGAAGGGAAGAGCCCAAAACATCCCAAGCTCCTCGTAGCCACAAGGACATGCAAGTTACCTCGACTTGCCTTTGGTCCTGTGCCCGATACATGGAGAGGGAGATGTACTAAACAAAGTATGGCCCCATTATTGCAGGTGTGCAACCTTCCGCATGCCCCCCCCCCCCCCCCCCAAATACAGAGAGAATTAGAGCGTCGGCTTTCCTCTGAACCTTGGATTCTGAATTAACCTTCTGTGGAAATCTCCGGCTCTCTGCACTTCTATTGCTCAACTTGCTCTGAGGGTCTCACGCCATGCCAGGCCGAGCCTATCCAAGTGAGATTGCGGGTTCAAGAAATGTTCGGTAGGAGAAAGGTCTGCCTGGAGAAGCCATATGTTTCGAGTCATAGAACCTCGACCCCAACCTTGCAGTACTTGCCGGAGGAGTCCAGCACCCTGGATGTTTTGATGCATATGTTTTGCAATAAGTTCGTGACAGCGTGCCAGGCCGGGCGTATCCAACTGCCATCACCATGTGGGTGTTGCCGGGGCCTGAAGTGCTGTGGGCTTTTCTGCAAAAACTTGGATTCCCTGTACCCCAGCCCTTTTGCCCGAAGGGCATCTCGCTGTTCCCACCTGCAAAGACAAGGCCTCCGAATGGTTCAGTGTGGCTCTCGCGGGTCCAAGCCCTGAAGGAGCTGGAGGTGCAGCCTGGCACGAGCTTTTGCTTGCCACTCCAACCCAGCATTCGGAAGAATCACGTGCTGAAGTCCTGTGCGCAGGGGTCAGATCCGACAATCATCAAAGCCATCGACAGAGTCAGGCAGCAGCCTGCCAGTTCTCGGGGAGTGCGAATCGGCACGAGCATTCGCTGGTGCACCGTACGGGTTCTCACTGCGAAGCAGATCATTTTCCCAGTCGTAGTGCAGAAGAAGAAAAGCCGCCGCTTTCTTGCGTATTTTCGACACCGACCTCGGGGGTAGGCAAGTACAGTCACTGTTGTTGCAGGTGCCTTCGCTTTCGTTTCTGCCTGTCGTGGGCCCTAAACCCGGCAGCAGTATAGTACAGTATGTCCCTGGCACAACCTCGTAGATGCCTGTGAGTTGTAGTGTGCATCAGCTGGCTGCTTGTGCAGTTTAATTTGGGGCCTCAGAAAAGCAGCAAAACCAGGGTCAAGCGAATCTACAGATGACCGCACAAGCGATGATGCCGTCAGCACAACGAAGAATCGCTCAGTGGCAACAATGTCGCCACCTTCGGTGCACTAGTGCTGGTGTGCCTCGTCGTGTTCGTCTGAACCACGCAGTAGGAGCACGATGCGCGCTGCTCATGTGACAAAACCTGTAAGTCCTCTCATAGCACTGGATTCCTCGCTATACTTTCTATCTAGAATACAGACTGTATGCCACTGAATGCATGATATTTGATGTTCTGCCGTTCAGTGGCTGCTGTGTGGGCTAGGCTTTGAGTTGTGTCATGCTGGGTCCAATTCTTGAAACTTTCCATATCCTGCAGGTGGCAGGTGCAGCAGGAGCTGAAGGGCCGCCCAGTCCCAGTCGCTGAGCCCGCCGCAGAGGCCTTTCGGGCGCCAGCTTGGCAGTCACACGGTCTTCGGCAAGCTTTGCAACTGTCGGCACTCCAAACCTACACGCCTCAGACTGGAGTCTCGTGGCTCCAGGGTGGCACCAGAAAGAAGCTGCGCCTGAGCTGGAGCGAGGTCCCTTGTGCTCTAGTGTTTGCAGAGCAGAGCATGCTTCTTCAAGGGATCGGCAACGCGGCAAGGGCCGCAAGGGGTGATGCTTCGTGAGGTCAGGGTTCCCCCACAGAGGCAAGCCTTGGGGCTCTCGGCAGGAGAGCCACCGCAGCCGCTCTTCCTCCAGTTCCTCGGCACTGGCCCCAGTCAGGGCTTCGGGGGGATAAGTCAAGCTTTGCAAGTTGACTGGCTCGGGTGACGCTGCCAAACCATGCCGGGTCGAATAGTGCGGAAAGGCTACTACATCCAATTTCAGGGTTGCTTCTGGCCTGTATGTGACCAGACTTGTGAGTCGTGGCTTGCTACCATAGACAGCCAGCATCTTGGAGGGAAAGCGTTTTCACAGGTACGTGTGCTGAGCTGAGGGCTCCAGTTTGTTTGACTCTCGGTCCCTTGCTGTGGAAAAAGCTTCGCGCAGTGAAGATGTTGCAATCTGAGGTGTAGGTTTGGAGCGCGCTAGCAACAAGTGCAACATGTTAACTGTTAAGTTCGCGCAAGCAGCCATTTGGCATCCCTTTTTCCCACCTCCGAAGCCACGTCTCAGAGTCGATCAAGTCTTTTCGGATTTAGCACAAGTCTAGTTTCTATTGTACTGAGTTGTTGGATGTCGCCACTAAGGCGTCACCCTGCATGGATGGGTAAGCGTCGCAGGTGTGAATGCTCAACCGAGTTCGCAGGCCTTCGGCTTACATTCCGAGTATCCAAAGCTACGTACTTCGTGCGATGGGCAAACCCGGACACATTTTCTGAGAGTGCAAGTCGGGGTGACTGCATGCAAGTTAGGGTCGAGTCTAGTGCTCCGCGATACATGTATCACCATCTGCTTCATCAAAACTAGAAGTGCAGTCGCGATGACACGACAACAGTCTGAAAGTTTCATTGGGGGGGGGGGGGGGCAGCATGCAGCAAGTTTCCGATGGTGGGCAGCATGCAGCAAGGTAGGCAATAGATGCATGCAGGTACTCGACTCGTACAGAGGTCCGGCCAATCACCTTCGTACAAAACTCTCACCACAATTCCTGGAGGAAGAGGACGAAGACATCTGAACCCCAGGCAAATAAGATTTGATGGAAACCTCTTGGCTGGTGTCAGTTGCCGTCGCCAGTTGCCGTCGCTGGGCTCGAGCCACGAGACACGCAGCCCAAACAATCCACAAACATGTCGAACGCTAGGATTTGGAACACTCTTGAAATTGCGCTTGGTTGCCGACCTTCTAGTCGTTAGTCCACCTGCACTCTTGCTAGCCGACTAGAGACTGCTTAGACCAGAGACTCCATCTCACGTCCATCTATCGGGATGTAAAGGCCAAGGCTAACTGACAGTCGAAGGAACCTCCCATGGCAGTCAGCCGCAACGCCATGCCGGGGCCACGTGTCTGCTAACAGGCGCAAACCACGTCCGGAAAATTCTCCCATCCATGGTGACTGGGACAGGGAAAGCAGGGATGCTCGTCTTGCAGGCAGCGCCGCCCATGACCGACGACGCAGACCAAGGCAGCTTGGGGCTTCTCAGGTTTTGCGTTAAGTTCCACGTCTCCCTTAGAAGTTGAATTTGGAGTTTTGGTGGTGGAATGCAAAAGCCTCAGGAATCCTGCTGTCTGTAGTTCCCTGTGTCTTTTTATTTACAGTTTCTGTTTTGGGGGATCTCAGGTCACTTCTTGCCGTTTCCACCGACACCAACCCTCTCGTCGCTTTGCTGCTTTCTCTCAGGCTCCGGCCAGTCTTTGGCGAAGGCAGAGGAGACGACTGCGCAGCGCTTCAGCGCCCTGCAGGCCTTGAAATGCCTCCTTTTTCTGGGCTTGGGCTGCATCGGGTTGAAGGTCTTTTTCACCGACTCCGACAATACTTTTCGCGCATCGAGACTAGACCCACATTCTATTGCAAGCCAGACTCAGCTGCTATGTGCGGCAATCCATTTCTTCCACCGCGGAGGCCTCAGAACTTGCCGCCAGCATGTCGATGGGTCTCAAGCCGTACTCTACACGAAGTGGCTTTTGTCGTGTGGGTGTTTTCGGTTTGGCCCCTGCCAGCAAGGGCAAGCTCATTTGCTGTCTAAGGCCACATCCGTTCCGATGCGGACGTTTTGCAGCGAATGGAGGCCTCTGTCTACTTGTAGCATCTCGACTCGGCTTCCGGCCGAGAAAGTCGGCTGGACTTCCATGTGCATGGCTCCACGCCAGACGGACATCATCTCTGACTTGCAAGCATACTTAAAGTCCCGACGATTGTGCCCGAAAAGAGTCCACAGACTGAAGACACGGTGTTTTCTTGTGCATCGCAGGGCAACCAGATGTTCCGGCTCTTCTTCGAGGCCTCGCTCTTGTGGGGAAGGGGCCGGGGGCCAGGCCGGCGAAGTGTGGGCTGGCGTCGGGCCTCGGGCAGGTTCCATACCACAACAACAAGCCTGACCTGAACCGGATCTTTCCGGAGTCGGCGCTTGGACCGCAATGTTGCCGAAGAGTCTTCGGCTCCCTCCGAAACTCCTTGCGAGCCGGGCAGGGGACTCTTGCCGCCCTTGGGCTCAGGTCCACGACTGCTCGGCCTTGCACGTTTGCTCCTTTATCCTGAGCATCCTGCACCAGGCCAGGCAGACGAGCACGGATACGATTTGACCTACTCCCAGACCATCAGGGCATCTTCAGCGTCTCTGCGTTCATCGTCAGCGTCATCTACCTCAGCAGGCACTTCCTGTTCGGGGTTGCTTCGGTACCGCACCCGTCGTACACATCTTGTACGTAGTCAGTTTGTCCACTCACGACTGCGTGCTTTGTTACGCGCGACTCACGAGACGGGCCGTTTGCAATTCCAACGTTTGCGGCAGGTTCAAGGAGAGTTCCAGAATCACTCTCCATGCCTGCACTTGGCGGCCGTTGTTCCTGACGTGGCTTGGCCGCAAGACTGTAGCAATGAAGCGGCACTCGAAGGATTGAAATCCATTACGGCCTCCCAGGAGCTCGTGGGGAACATGACGCTTAAGCCTCAAGCCCATGTCGGTTTCAGCGGCCTTCTAGGATCGAGACCCAGGAGCCTCTGACGTTGGACCAGGTACTTGGAGCCCTAACCTTCGCAGGGGATGGGTCGTGATTCGGAATCGCTAAGTGAGACTAGACTTGTAGACTGTTGCTTCGAGGTCTCTCCCTATAGCCACAAAGGAGCAGACTTCCGTGGATGTTGTGTCTTCTGCGATTCTGCGATCCACACAAGAAGCACCGCTGCCAGTGCAAGTCGACCCTCGCTGGAGCAGCAAGAGTCTACGCAGCTCAGGTCTCTGCTACTGGCCGACAAGATGTGGGAGGACTGATGTGGGCACCAAGAGCATCTATGCATGCGGTGGTAATTGCGATCTTCGGTTTGATCCAGAAGGCCTGGATGGCGCTCTGCCGAACAGGACAAGCCGGTCCGCAATAGCTCCCTGGCGAAGCTCTTTCCGGCTCAGAACTCAGAGATAGGCTTAGGGGAGGCTTCACATTCAAGTTTTGGAGCTCGGGGCCACAGGTCCTTGTGTTGACGCAGACTGTAGAGGTCCTCAGCAATGGGGAGCTCAACCGCATGGAGAGCGAGTTCTTAGAGGAGATCAAGTTGCGAGCTCAGACTTCTAAAGCGTGCTTGTGTGCATGTTTGTTTTCTCTGTCTGCGTGCGTGCGCGATTTTTTCTACCGTGGGTTCAGAGCTTCGGGTGTTGCGGGCGTGCATCTCCTTAGCAATGTGTCCGAAGCCTAGCGCCTGCAGGTTCGAGTTTTTGGAGGCTTCAAAGTCCCTTTCAACGGCCATTTTCTAGTCTTGAACCTCCAGCTTTGCACGGGGACTCTCCCCGTGCCTCCACGAGACGCCCAAGACGGCTTGAGGCCATGTGGACAGTACGCCGCACTGTGAGACTCGGTGCCAAGCGAATCCGTTGAGGTTCAATGTGCTGGTAAAGCCGGATCTCTTCTGCTCCTTCTGTGAGAAGTTGCTGGCGGAGCAGGCGTTAGGGAAAAGCCCCTTAAAAAAAAAGGCCCCAACTGCAGCGAAATGAATCGAGGCCGCCCTTTGCCGAATCGTGTCAGGTACACCAGGAGATTTCCCACTGCGTCATCCAGTCAGAGTGCCCATGAAGAAACTGTGATGGGTGCGATGTGCGGTACTTGGTCGGGCTAAGGCTAGGCGTGCGGATGTTCTGGACAGGGACCCGAAGCCTCAAAGAATCTCTGAGCCAAAAGACTGCCCACAGCATCGGAGAGGTACGCGGCGACCCTGCAAGTCGACCTGGAGGAGAAGGCTCCTGCGAAGGCTCTGAACGTCCAGAAGGAGGTGCCGACCGCGAAGATGTGCCGAGTTTGGACATCGGAGCGCCGCATGCTGAGGAGGTCGCCACAGAAAAGACAGCAGATGGCCACATCCTGAAGCAACCGGAGATCCGAAAGGCGAGGGCAGGGCCTCGGGCAGGGCTCTACTTGCACGACGAAGAATAAGACTGAACCCCCTTGCTGAATATTCTGTGCTGGTCTCACCCCGATCCGCATGCAAGGTTATGAGTTGGGTTAAATGTCGACGCATGCTACAGCTCGGCGACGAAGTCATGCCAAAGTGAGAGGCGTTTTGATACTCGGGGCATGGCCTTATCGCACATGACTCTGCCGTTGCCGGCCAGGTTCACGGCGGCTCACCAGATGGTGTCAGGCAGGCTTTCTGCCACAGCAACCTCATTTCCAGCGACGCCAAAGCAGACCCCTCCGACTCTTCGCACTGCTCTTCGATTTCTACGATTGAGAATGTTAGAATGTTGAGACTTATGGGGCTTGCAACTGGGCTTTTCAGTCCGGGCAGCCGGACAGGTCAGGCTCCTGGCACGGCGAGGTGGGATGGGCAGATTCTGTCGAGCTGGTGAGGGCTGGTGTGCGAGCTTTGGGCTGTGATCTAAGCATCCCCTCGCGCATCGCTGCGGGTTACAGGTCAAGCGCCCGTCAGTGGTCCATCATCCACAGAGCCATCAACCCCAGGATCCGGCCTGATGTCTGGAGTAGTCTTTTTGGTGGTGGTTTCATCAAACCTGACCTGTTCTGAGCTTTTTCCATGCTTTGAGGATGGTTAGCATTCGCAGCTTGAGGTGGGTTAGGTGTCTTGCTTTCCGGGAGGTGCTGTTCGCTACGGTATCTTCTTTGTGAGCACTTCGTGAACGAAACGTGTTGATATCTCGCCCTTCTCTGAGATCAGTTCCCGTGTTCTTTTTGACCCCAGATGCTGTTTTCGAAGAGGAGCTGCAGCATGCCGTGGCCTATGCCACACAGGAGTTGTGGAAAAGGCTCGGGCTGCCAACGTAGGGACAATTAATTGAGATTGATGAAAACTTACATTGGAGCTGAGGGGGGGGGATGAGAGCCCGTAGCATCCATGGGGCTCTCGACTCGGTGAATCGGGTTCAGGGTTTCAAGGTTTAGACCAGGACCCTCCGCATGCGCTGGCTGCGGCTGTTGCTGGCTCAAGCTACAGCTGCGGCAACGAGCTTCCGGAGCGGGGGCCAGCATGGAGGCTGCACTGGATGCCGCGCTCAAGGAACACTTCGGTTACGACAGCTTCCGATCGGGACAGCGTGAAGTCGCTCTGGCAGCACTTGAACATCGAGATGCGGCTGTGTTCTGGACCACAGGTGCAGGAAAATCCTTGTGCTACCAGCTGCCAGCGGTGCAGAGCGGCAAGACGGTCCTAGTTGTCTCGCCCCTCATCTCCCTGATGCAAGATCAAGTCCACCGCTTCAACGCGACCAGGCCTCAGTTGCTCCCGGGACCCTGAGACGCTGCCAAGAGTCGGAGGAGGCATCCTTGCAGCCCAGGACGGTGGGCGCCCAGGGTCGCTTCCAGGCCTGCTTCTTGGGATCCGCACAAACGGACCCAAGCATCGAGGCGAAGGCCTTGGCGGGCCGCTTCTGCTTGGTCTACTTGACACCCGAGAAGCTGACGGGAGACGGAGACTTCCTGAGGACAGGGGGGAAGGGCAAAAAATCTTGCAAAGCCAAGCTTCGTCTTCTTTGTTGTCGCCACCGTTCAGCCCAGAACTTGGGGCCCTTTGTCAGGAAGCTTTCTTTGCAGTCGCTGCTCCTGGTGGCCATCGATGAGGTCCACGGCCTCTGACAAACAGTGCCCGTGTACATGTGATCTCTCTTCCCAGGTTCTTGCCCTTGCTCTTGTTGCAACCAGGCCCACTGCATTTCCGAGTGGGGACACGACTTTCGCCCCTCCTACCGCAACCTCCGGGCCATCCGCGAAGCGCTCCCCACCATACCTTTGATGACGCTCACGGCTACAGCCTCTGCTCGCGTGCAGACTGACATACTGCAGCAACTGCAACTTCGTGATCCGCTTGTGGCTCGCAGCTCTTTTCACCGACCGAACCTCCATTTGCGGTGCACGAGGAAGACCTCAAAGGCCGCGGATCTTGTCCGCATCGCCAAGGACATAGAGGCTAACGGGGGCAGCACCATTGTGCTACCCGGCAGCAGAATTAGCCGAATTAGCCCAACATGCCCAGTGGAGTCCAGGTCAAACTCTCGGTACGCTTTAGGGTGGGTGTTTGCATGGGGAGATTCCGAACACCGGATTCCTGCTCAGCTTTAAGCAGCAGGCCCGAAGCAGTGACAGTAGAAGTCTCTTCCGGCGTACCGCCACCTTCAAACTATGCCCTCACGCTTGATCCGAATCCTGCATGCCATAGATGAAGTGCCAACACGTGCCCAAAGCATCAAACACTAAAACCTAGCTTGGCAACCCGAGGTACGTCATGACGCAGAGTGATGCGGAGAGCGTCGCTGGTTTCCTGGGCGAGAAGCTGGCCCGGGCCCCCAGCGTGAAGGTCGCGTGCTACCACGGTGGCTTGTCCATGGCTGCGCGTGAAGATGCGCACGTGGCCTTCCTGAACGGGCAGGTGCAGGTCGTTGTCGCAACGGTTGCTTTTGGCATGGGGATCGACAAGCCGGATGTGAGGCGCATCATTCACTACGGGCCGCCGAAAACTGTGGAGGAATACTTTCAGCAGATTGGCCGTGCCGGCCGAGATGGACTCGACTCCGTGTGCGAGCTGATTACTTCAGATGGGGACTTCCGCCAATATTCCTCCGATTTCTACACGAAGAATTTAAGTGAGGAGAATATCAAGCACATCGCGGCTTCCACAGAAGCCCTGCGCAACTTCGCAAGCTGCATCAGCTGCCGATGGCGTTGGCTTTTGGAGTACTTCGGTGAGACGCCCTCCTACCGTCCCTTCGTCCCACCTCTGGCTCCGCTGTTTGTTCTCGTTGCCTAGAGCTTTCAGACATCCTTAGAAAGATTCGTGTCTAGGTCACTGTGGCATCTGTGACAACAGCGTGGCCAACGGCAAGGACGTGCGCGACTTCCGAGCCGCGGTGGCCCCGATCCTGCATGCTGTGGCAGCCACGCAGCACTTTCCGCAAGCTCGGACCTCGGTTGCGCTCGCTGAAATCAGTGCGCCACTTCAGAAGAAAGGGTCGTGACCACGAGGCCTTGACTCATCTCCTGCAGATCATCACTGGGACCTGGAAGCCAAATCAGTTCAGCAGTATCACAGGGACAGTGGCTGCCGCACAGCCGGAGATACAACAACTCCGGCAGGCTTTGCCTGCGTTGATGAAAAAGGAGGTTGTCGTTCGGGAGCTGATCGTGTCGCTTTGCGGCGCCAGATACCTACAGCGGACAGTCGTCAAGACTAATAATCAGAGCTCATTCTGCAAGGCATTCGAGGTTTACAGCCTCACAGAAGCTGGTCGAACAGCATTGCGGAGCAACGCACCGGTGGATTTGCCCATAACGGCCACAATCCGCCAGCAGGAGGCAGACGAGGAACAGCGGCGCAGCGCCAGGGAACGAGAAGTCTCCAGTTTCGGCTTGGATGTGCGAACTCTGTCCGCCGAGCAAATGACGGATGATGGCCCAGTCCTTTGGTACATTCGCAAGCTGAAGCACTGGAAAGATAGCGGCAAAGAAGAGCTCTTGACGAAAGCTGACCGTCACGAGGCGCTCAGGAAAGAGATCCTCCGCTGGCGCGCAGAGGCCGCCGTGCGATTGCGCTTGGCGCCTGCCGCTGTGCTCTCTGAGTACTCGTGCATCGCCTTGACTTACGTCCAACCCACGACCGTGGAGGCCATCAAGAGCGTCGGTGTGCGCATTTCGGGTGCGGAAGAGCTGGCCAAGATTATCCAAAAGGCCAAGGAGGAGATGAAGGGAAGCTCCAGCACTGCCGAAAACGCCGAGGCAGAGGAAAGAACTCGGGAATGCGAGCCGGACTCGGCCGATTCGGCCCAGATGGAGCTGCCAGCGGGCAGCGTGACACCGCCCAGGAAGTGGCCGGCCGCGGTCTACAAACCCGGAAAGCGCGGGGCCAAGCCTCCCTGGGAGCTTTCCTACGAGCGCTTCTTACAAAACGAGTCTCTGCAGAGCATCGCCATGCGACCGGCTTCAGGCGCTCCAATTCAGACCAACACGGTGCGAGGCCACATTTTGACAGCTTGGACCTTTGGAAAGCCCGTGGATCTGCAGCGTCTCTTCCGGGAGTCGGAAGCCGTCCTGCCATCCGAGGCCGAATGGAACCAGTTGGAAGAGGCTGCGGCAGCCAACAAGCTCGATTTCTCTGCCGAAGTCCGTCTCAAGGAAATTCTGCTGCTCATCCTCGGAGACAAGGTGAACCGGGAACCGAGCCTCAAGTCCGATGCTGACAAGGAGCTTGAGCGCCAGTGGTATGAGCGAATGAGAATCTGGGAGGCTTTCCGCAAAGTGGGCTACGTCCCTTCTTTTGCTGGTGCAAAGCGTCAGCGACTGAACTGAGGCTCGTCCCTGTGTGGCGGTTGGGAGCAGTCACAGTACGCTGTGTCTGCCGGGGTCTTTGCTTAGCTGCTCGCAGCTAGCCGTATCGCGAGGGGAGGTGCAGAAAATCGTCCGCCTTCGGTTCCAGCAGCCTCTGGCAGAAAGCCCACGCCCTGAAGAATTCCTGCCGTAGTTGGGCGGCCTTCACCTCCTAGCCGTTGTTTATTCCAGGATGTTCCAGCATTCTCAGGCTCTGCATACGCTTCGAGCACTTGAGCCATCCAGTCGTTTCCTAGCTGTGTTGCACCGCACATCAACTTCCAGAACTGACCTAGCCACTCCATTCGCTGATAAGGCAGGCTGGCACCGCACCGCGTTCCATTTCCGCCGAGTCCTTACCAAATCGGGATTGATCACAACAGGGAGCCTACAACCCTGGATCCCTAAAGACCTAAGCCTTGTTGAACATGTTGAGCCTGAACGGCACAGAATCCTGCAAAAAGCCTGCAAAAGTGCATGAGTTTCGGGGCAAAACATGGTCTTCCGGGCCTTGAAAGAGTCAACCAAAGCTTGTTAGTCTAGGGCTTGGGGCTCTCGGTCCCTCTACAGCTCTACATGACTGCAGAGTAGCAGGCAGAGGAAGGTTTCGTCTGGATCAAGCGAGTCGGACGACGTAGCAAATTTGAGAAGATCTGCTTATCGTTCGGTTAAAGGGGCCTCGGGAGGCTCCCCGCATGCTTCGCCACCGAAGCTGTGGCCATGGTCTAAACAACTGCAAATTGCAACCATGCCTGTCCGAGGTGCAGCCATTGCGAGTCGGAGAGAAGGCTCGCATGCAAGCCTGTTCGAGCGCTTTGAAAGCATTAATGACTAGTGATTTTGGGAGGCCATGCGGGGGGTGGCCCGCCAGTTGATCAGGAAGTTGCTGTCAGTCGTGATTTGCATCATGGCAGCTACCGAACAATGACCGAAGGTACCATCAAATCGTTTGACAGCGATGATCCTCGTCTCACTCAGGGTACTCAGTTTGGCTTCAGAATTTGTGTCGGCAGGCAGAAGATCAGGCAGACGAGGCCCTGCGAGGCCCGGCAGAAGCCAAGAGAGTTGAAAGCACGACACCTGATCGCAGCTTGCCATGCGGGGGCCTTGCAACCTGACGCTCGCTCTCTCTTACGTACTGCGCGTTCCTTGCATTTTCTGTACCTTAATATGTCCAGCCACTTCCTGGGCCCAACCTGCAAAAGACAAGCATCCCCTGGTCGATGCTTGGGACACGAGCACAAAAGCACAACATGTCGACCACAACTCGCAAGGAAACGATTGGGGAGCTGGCATCCATGTCTGGCAGAAGCAGATCAAGAAGTGATCAAGAATTGCAAGGGAAGTGCAGAAGACCGCCGCCAACACAACCCACAGCCCGCCAGCCTCAATATTCGCTTTCTTTTGAGGCTCGCTAGACAAGACCTTCAAGGCATAGGTGGCCTCCAGCTGCAGGCCCACCAGCTGCGCCGCTGATGGTCCAGTCGGGCCAGCCGCCCATGAGGCTTGGAGTGACTTTTGCGGCTTTTGGTTTCAGGTCTCGGGGTTAGACGCTTTGTTTCCGAGACAGCCAGGCTTTGCCGGGCAGCCGAGAACAGCGGATACAGTAGGGTGTAGTCAAGCTCTTTGAGAGACTCGCGAACCTGTGATAGCGGATGCAAGAGCCGGAGACATCTGTCTCAATGGAGGGAAAGTCTCGTTAGAGCTTTTCTTCTTGAGTTGACCCTCCGGCATTTAGGATCTGAGACATCACACCCCAAACCTCAACTTCAACGGACGTCCCAACCCTTGCATGCACATCTTGAAGGGCGCCTCTAGAGCATGTTGGGATGTCAGGCGGTCTCTTCCCGCCAAGGGCACGGCGACGCAGTGCCCAAGGGGGGATTTCAGGCATTTCAGGCGCCAAGGCTGGGCTTCCTTTGGGTGATCCCAGGGGCGATCGGTGAATCTGCGCAGTTCGGGCCATGAGCAGCCATAAGAGAAGTGTTCAGGCCAATGTTGCCGCGTTGCTGGATGTGTCTCAGGTACGTGCCGCTTGCTCGAGCACCCTCCGTGGGAAGCACAGCAGGCCTTCCCAAGAAAATTGCAGCAGCGCCCGAACCATCCTTGCATCTTCGCATCGCCAACTGCAATCTAGTGGTTTGGGCATATCGTCCGTTCGAAGTCGCAGCGAAGTACGGCCGACTTTGTTCCATCATATTCCATCTCGACTCTTGCACCATCCCTGCATCGAAAAGCTGCGATATGAAGCAGGCCTGTTCTGTTCGGATCTGAATCCTTGGCCAGCGCAGGCTTCGTGCGATGTGGCGAGGTGCGCTGGGATTCACTGTCCCGCTTTGAGTCAAGAAATCTCAGCGCGCAGTCTTCAACATGGCTTCGGGTCATAGGACGGGCTGCTCTTCAAGGAGTGCTGTAAGTCATTTTTCATTTCATCAGCTTGCGCTCCACAGTCAGCCCCATTGCGGGGTAAGGGCATTGGCATGCTGTTGAGCGAATTGACGACTTCGATGACACCTGTGGTCTTCTACCCGTGATGCTTGATACACTCCTTTGCTTCGCGTGCAAGCTACAGGGAGCGCAGAGTTTGTTGAATGCGCAAGCTCCGGGTATTGTGCCTGCCAGCCAAAAAAGAGGCGGATGGCAGCTAAAGGAAAAGACAAGCTCTTACAGTAAAGGAGATACTACGAAAGGAGGACTCATCTCTAAAGGAAGCAGCACGCGTTTCTTTAGCCTGAAGCTCCAGAACAAAAATAAGCCAGCTCGGTGGCTGCCAGCAGGCTAGCTGCCATTTGCGTAGCGAGCGGTAACGAAGGAAGGGGCTCACTGCTTCTTTGGGGGGCCCTAGGATGAACCGGGACACAGCACTGAAAGGATCGAAGCACACCACAAAGGGCAGGTTCGACCCTGTAGTTTAGAGTTTTGAATGTGCCAGAACTCTCGGACGGGCGAGGCCCTCGTGCTGTTCTGGTGGCACCCCTGAAGGAGTTTTTGGGGTCTCGGCCGTAGTGAGGAGAGGCATCAATTGGATCGAGTCCTCAGGAGTAATTGTTCATCTGAGCTGCGACGGCAGGCCGCCAACGCAGCGAGCTCGAGCCTCAAAACACGCGGGCACTGCTCAACGACCAAAACAACCCGCTGCCTGGCATCTGGAGCTCTGCAAACAAGAGACGAATTTCTAGATTGACAGTCACATTCCATACTCGGCCGCAAAGGCACATGCAGGACTTGGTTTGTCGTCCATACCTCCACGGGGCCTGAAGACACCCCCAAAATCCAAGCCAGGCATCCACTCCCGAGGCGGCCACTATCCAGCCGGGGACCCTGGTGCCGGAGCGCTTTGGCCTCCTTGGAGCTGCTTGGATTCAACCGAGAAGCGAGCCCAGGTGGCCTCCGCGGCGATGCAGCAGTCACCGAGGCGCCACAGTAGGGGTGTGGGGGAAAAGCACACCACGCCCACCAGCATTGGTTCAGCACCGCTGACGGGCGCAAGACCTTGCGAGCTCGCACAGAGAGAGAAGGTCGCCACCACCGGCGGTGCCAGCGACCCTGCTTGGCCGCGAGGCGGCTGAGTGGATCAAAGTGCTCAGGTTGAGCGGTGAACTGGCACCAGAGTCAGAAACACGACTGGATACAACATCACCCTTTGCAATTCTATGCCTTCGTCAGCTGCTTCGTCACTGCTCCTCACAATTTCTTGCTGTTTAGGGCCCTTTTCACATGTGCTTTCTCAAGAATCGACCGGTCTGAGCAGCTTGCTGCTTCAACATCTTCGTATGGAATGTTTGGGGCACCTTCGTATCCGGCAGTATCCCTCTTTGGTCCTCAGGGGGCGGCGTGCCGAGCACAGACTCCCTCCGGCATGCCCTGCAGTCAGGCTCGCAAGCCCAAGCAGGATCCACAACTTGAATGCCGCAAGTCGCGCACTTTCCGCATGTTCAAACAACAAGCTTTGACACGTGGAGGTCAGCTCGGTGGTCGCCCAGCCAGTGCGGGCTACTCCAGGCCAGGGCTCGGGTTCAGGACGCCTGGCAGACATGCCCACAGTCATCCGACGTCTGCCTACACGCAGTTGTGGCGCAAGTCCACGCCGTGGTGACACCGAAGCCACGGTCCTCATCTGTGGCGCTCTCGGGACGCTTCAACTTCGGATAGGAAGGAGATGAGAGGTGCGTAAGTATCATGGCATGTCTATTGGCCCAGATCTTGCTTCTGACATCGCGTTTGAGCTGCTTTCAGAGGCTTACTCTTGCACGGCAGACGGCTCAGGAGCATCTGCGTTGGTGGGTCGCAGCCATGGGCCGCGTCATCCGCGGCTCGCGTAAGGGTAAGTCCCTCATCTTCACCGCGAAGAC